TATATCTAGTAAGAACTAGAACATTCGCCAAAGTACATGATAGTTCTAGAAACGTTGTGTCACAGTAGTCATGTGACTCGATGACGCAACAGTTTGTTTTGTTTTGAATTTCGCGCAAAGCTACACGAGGGCTATCTGCACTAGCCATCCCTAATTTAGCAGTGTAAAACTAGAGGGAAGGCAACTAGTTATCACCACCCACTGCCAACTCTTGGGCTACTCTTTTACCAACGAATAGTGGGATTGACCGTCACATTATAATGCCCCCATGGCTGAAAGGGCGAGTATGTTTGGTGTGATGGGTTTGGCTTTGAACATGTACAGGGTGGTAGGTTTATTAAGGTTAAAATTTCGTTTATCAACTGGCCAAAGTTGATAATAGTCATTATTAAACATTATTATTAAAGTTTTATGGATAATTGCTCACTAGATTTAGTGATAAATAATAACTTTACTTTTCTTATCTAAACATGGAAAAATGATCCACATGTATTCTGCTGCTGTTTTTTTAACATTTGTATATTAGTATTTCTATATTTCTATATTGTATATAGAGTTTGAGCATACATCCCTGGCCAGAAAGCCCCACATCATACCTGTGGTAAATTACATAACAATTATTGGTTTTACTAGTATTTCAACTATAATTAGTCGGTCAGCAGGATATGAATATTTCTATAAGCATTTAGTTACTTAAAGTATTTTAATTAAAATGAGAGAATTATTATGTTTTACATATTCAAAAATAAGTACATACGTCCTCGCAGGATTTAGAGGCCTGCCAAATGATAAGTTCAGATGTTTAAATTAATGACACTTCTAATTCTATAAATCATTAAATGCAATGGTGAAACAATAATCCAATTTTCTATCAAACTAAATAAGTAAATAATAATTTTTCTGAATTTAATCTTTGAATATAGTGTTTAAATTAAACTAATTTTGGTAACAAACATTGAATGCTATATTTTTCCTATATAAATAATAAATACGAACTATGTTTTTCTATTAATACCTCTTTGAAAACTTGATAAAAAAACGATACATAGGTGATGGCTCCACACAGTAATAACAAAACCCAGAACACAAATAACACTCCTGATGATTTTCTACCTTTTCTTTGGTCTCTTAATATAAAGCACAAAACTAAAACCTAAAATAGAAATATTTTTTTTATTCACACGTGACACATCAATAAAATCACATCTTATGCATACATAGCTTGTCATATTTTGTATACTTTTATTATAAGATTTAAAAATGTTTGTTGTTCAATAATAAAGATACAAGCTGTCCATTTAAGACATTAAGTCATTAGTGTATTGTTTTCAACAAGAACAACTAATTGAACTATAAATTTTGTTAAGGTAAATTTATTTTCTAAGGTAAAGATAGTACTAATCTAATTGTAATTAGTTTAGAATTTCTGAGAATAAATATTTGTGCATACAAGTGTTTCTGTGTTGAAGCCTATACATAATGCAGAAAGCATTCATAGTGGCATCGAGATCATTACAGTACGTCAATAAAGAATTTAAAGCAGTTAATAAGTTAAGATACAGTATTAGCATTCAACATTATTTAGGCTTATAGTTTAAGACAATTACCACGTTTGGATAAGACACAGAAAAAAGTGAGGGTAAAAGTATGAACAATGGAATGATGAATCTTATTAAAAATATAATAATGGTTTATTAATCCATGAATTAATTATAATGTCAATTAACATAAAACAGATATTGTACTTTTTATGATCTGAAAATAAATATATGATGTTCTCTTTTTAATTTGAAACATAGGTAAAAATGGTTACCAACTGCCTTACATTGAGAGCAGAACTTTACTGAAAAGGGGTCCTAACTTAAAGACAAAAGACAGACTTATGAAATGTCATCAGTCTAATGTTCTTTATTGAAATTAACCCCATTTCGATAAAGTCTTGATATCTATGTAACTGTAAGACAGTTGTAACCAGTTTTCACTTTTGTTTCATCATATATTCAAGCGCAGCTTTGATCGTCATGCAATCAACGAATAAGTTTTTAAGTTTCTATTGTACACTCAAAAATATTTTGGTTAGTTTCTTACAACTGGAGTATTAAGACAGAAAAAAAAATCAATATTCATTCTGCTATTAGTATCACACAATTCAATCATTTGTTGAAAGAGAACAAAAAAAGAAACATTTTAAGTGTAATAGTGAAATCGTTCCCTAAATTTCCACATTGTAAGGTCTTTGCTATCACTTACGCTGCTTTAGCTAGCTGAATCTGAGGTTGTTAGTTTCTATAACTTACTTATTCATTATCATTGTATATGTTTCCTTTCTAAACAGTTGAAATTACTTTTTGAAAATTTCAGTCTGTTTCAGAAGTTTATGTTACATATTTTACAATAAAAAGGATTTAAAACAGAATAGCCCACAAAATTTAAGCTTTTGCGTGTTTATATATTTATATATCAATTGCATTTTCCCATCTAATAATATTCATATTTTAATGTCAGCACTAAATATTTAATATTTTCAGTGCTGAATTTCATAAATAATGACTTTTTAGTTTTTAAAGGACACTGAATATGCAAAAACCAAAAAATAATAATAAAATAAAATAAGAGCCTGTTTGTTTCCTATTTTTATTAAATTTTAAATGTGTTAATAATTTACTTTTAAGTTATGTTGATAAAAAAATGTTGAGTGCAAGCTTTAATTTAAATGTTTCAACTAAATATGAGGTTTGCAAACTTAAATCTCAAATATGACTTCGACAAAAAATATGTATTTGTTAAAAGTTTATGTTATTTCTCTATGAAGTTTATTAAGTACACTTACGAATGTAACTAGCTTTGTGCTAGAAGAGCAAAGTTCTACACCAGGAACAAGCTGATCACTTCTTTGTCGTTGTATTTTCAATGACAAATCTATCAGTGTTAAAATGACAAGTCCGAACGTTGACATCTAAAACCACAGATAAAATATTGCAATAAATAAACAGTAATGCAAATTTACTGACAGAAAATGGGATTGAATATAAGCCTAATTAATACTTATCTTAAGGTACAAATTAACATAAAGTTGTTTTTTCCTGGCATAATCAGTTTGTGTAATTTTTAACTTACTCAAGAAACTCTAAAATTTGGTTGATTTCGGTCATTATGTGTGTTCTTGTGATACTTTATATTGTTGACTGGATTCTGTTCCGTTATTCGATAAAAAGAAAAAGAAGAATGCAAAGTCCAGTCCACTTAATGATAGCGAAAAAGTTTTTTTTTCATTAATTTCAAATTCTACAAGTTAACTTTATAAAAGTTCCCTATAAGTTCATAGAATTAGTAACCACAGGGACAACTATTTTACATATTTGCTATCCCCAGTAACTCAGCGGTAAGTCTTAGGGCCTATAACCCTATAATCAGGGTTCGAAACCAACAAGTAGGCACATCATAGATAACCCATTGTGTAACTCTGTGCTTGATAACAAAGAAACAAACACATGTTGGTTTTATTTTCACAAAAATAGAATACAGTCAATAATTCTCGTTATCTCTTGTACTTTGTTGAAACACAAACTCAATATTCACAAAAGTGAAATGACTAAATAGCTGATAATATCAGGTCTGTCGACAAGTTAATTAACAAAATCACTCAATAATAATTCCCCTGTAACAGACTCAAATTTCTAAAATAACTCAATATCTCCTACTTAAGAATTATTCGCGTTTTTATACTTCTTAATTTATTTTTTAAACTTTCAAAAGGTTCTAGCCACGTTTGTTTATTACTAAGCACAAAGCTATGCAACAAGCTGTTGCGTCATCGAGGTCACGTGAATGGTGTGGCGCCACCTATTTTCTAGAACTATCCTGTACCTTGGCGAATGCTCTAGTATTTACTAGATATATGGTAGTCTGGTATATAAAAGAGGGTGACAACGTGACGGGACAGTAGTGTGTGTATAGGTAATGAGTAATTGAACTGCAGTCAGAGAGAGATGTGTTGTTGAAGTTAACGTTCGTTGTTAAAACGTTTGTAAAAGAGCGACTGTTGAAAATAAGTGTATCGTGAAGTTATATTCAGAGAGAATAAACCAGTTTTATTAAGTAAGGACTTGTGTCGCTAAAGTTTCGTCGGAACGAAGTTACGGAAAGTTAATTAACAAACGGAGACGTAACAAAGCTATCTGTACTGTGCCCACCACAGGTATCAAACCCAATGTTAAGCATTATGAGTCCTCAGACTTACCACTGAGCCACTGGGGCATCGTAATCACTGAGATATGCCCATCAGGTGACGTGAAAACTCCCATTGGCCAACAAATCAAAGTTTAAATTTGAAAAGCAAAAACATAGCCTACAATTTCGATTTCGATGATGAGGAACCCACTTTGAGACTAATAATGGCTGGAGACGGCTTTAATATAAGTTTAACAAAACAGCAAATGTACAACGTTTTGACAAGGTTTTGTCACCATCGGGTACTTGTAAATTGGTCTTTCTGGGATTATACAACCACACCTTGTCTCCTGGTACAAAGCTGACTTCAGTAGACCTCTTATCATAAGATAACTTCATCGAATCAGCAGACGTTTTCAAGTTTGAATGCACTTGATGGTGAATATCACCCATCCTTTCCGATAACACTTTCACAAACTTTGACACATTCTCAGGCAACTCTTCATAAGGTGGGCGTCCTGTTAACAGATCCACTGGCAACCAAAGTTCCCGACCAAACATAAACTTTGCTGGAGTGTATCCAGTGGCTTCATGCTCTGCTGTCCTGTAGGCCATCAACAGTGGAGGGAGTAAGATATCCCAGTCATCTTGGCGGCTATTACAAAACTTTGCCAATTCCTGTCCAATTGTACATTTC